AGCATAAGGGAGAAGAGATGACAAACATCTGTAATAAATGTATCTTAACTAAAATAATAATTCAAGCTTGTTGTACCCTTTGCCAACTGCAGCTTAGGTAATTATTGAAAATATTTATATCTATCATTCCTTTCAAAGTGAAGGGTACAGAAAAGTAACAATAACCCTAATAAAAATAAAACAGCAGCAAATCAAAGCTGATAGATAAACACCATTAAAAGCAGCCACAAGGAAAAATGAATAATCAGGGAGACCCACACACACAATTTACTGTATGTAGGAAACTATGTTAGTTCTAGTGGAAACTATTGGAATTCACACACACACACACCACCCCTTCCTGGCAAGTCAGACAGTAAAAGTGAGGCCTCTCAAGGCCAAATGGCTTTCTGGACGAAAAAAAAAGGTTTTTACACAGCAGCAGGTCATGACAGAAGAGGCTATGCGGACTTTTGCAGGAGCGAAGTTCCAGAGCACAGCTTTCTCTCCCTTGTTGCAAACAAACCCAAGTTTCAGACACACAGGACAGACTCACAGGGGAGGATGCAGATCTTGGAGTATCACAGTCCAAAATCTTCTGGAACTTCAAAAGCATGTGACACTAGTAATTTTTCTTTAGTTACTCCAGTGAAACCAGTGCTACATACAGCTAAGGTAGCATTAAATTGTCCTTGTCCTGGCAAAATTCAGCATTTGCCCACTACTGCAGGTACTGTCTGGCCAGCTCTGCACATATATGCTCCGGCGCACAGGTCATGCGTTTTTTCCAGCTCAAAACATGAAAAGAATACATTACTTTCTAAAGTGATCAAATACACGAGAGAAGCGGTTTTTGGGGCCACCACTATGGGGCAGCATTTCCCTGCAAAGTAGCAGCCTGTTATCTATTTCTGAAATACCAGGTTCTGATCCAGCACCAAGTGCAGATCTCCATGTGCTGAGGGTAAGCATGACTGCTTCTGCCCCACATGGAGCCTTGGTGGTAGTACATGGGCTTTGCATGCAGAACTGCTAGATTCAATCCTGGCCTTTTTCAGATGCTAGAAAAAGAGCTTGCTTGGAACTCTGGAGGGCTGCTGCCAGCTAGTGTTGACATAATGGGCTAGATGGACCAGTGGACTGACTCTAAGAAAGCACAGCAGCTAAGGCAACATCAGCTCAAGAATAACTGATGATATTAGACCGTTTCTGAGCAGGGTCTCTTAAGAGTCCACTCTACACCATGGAGAAATCACATGGCATGGGCAAGAAACACACACAGGCAAATTCTATGAAAAAAATGCTCTCTATTCCCAAACAAGCAAAGTAAGGAAAATAAATCATTCACATTTAGTTTGCCTACTTAGGTGCTGTATTAAATCGATCTACCAGCTTTTAGTTCTAGTTTTAATCACTTGCTCGAATTCTCCAACTGTCCAAGGACCAAAAACAAAAATAAAGAAAAAGAGTTCACCTGCCAAAGTTCACCACCTGCTTATGAACAAGCAGGTTACAAAGAAAGAGAAACACAACATAGTTTTATTGACTCCTAGGATGCTTTGAGGTGCCCTTAGCAAAAATAGTATGTGTGAGTAAAAGCCGAATTGCTGACCTATTGATCCAACCCCCATCTCCCTCAGCATGGAAAAATCAATGTTGGGGTTATCACTGTGTCTCTTGGTCTACTCAAGTAAGAAAAAAGTAGAAAGAAGGGCAACAAAAAGTATCAGGGAGCTGCAGCATAAGGGGAGACCTGACAGAGCTGTTTAAAGTAACACACAGTGCGGAGAAGTACAGAGTTTTTTCTTTCTCCCATAACACTCGAATCTGGGATCATCCCATGAAGCTGTTGGTGGAGGGTTTCATAAAAGGAAGCACTTCTTCACACAGCATATAGTTAAAAATACGGAATTTGCTGCCATGGGAAGTAGTGATGGCTGCCAATATGGCTGGCTTTAAAAAGGGGCTGGAGAGATTCATGAAGTGGCTATCAGTGGCTACTAGCCTCGCTGGCCATGTGCTGCTTCCTTCACCAGAGGTGGCATGCCTGCACACATCACTTGCTGAGGGGGACAGGAGGCAAGCTCACACCAGTCCTGCCTGAGGGACCCTGTGGGCAGCTGTTTTGCCACTGTGCATACAGAGTGCCGGACTGGATGGACCACTGGTCCGGTCCAGCATGGCTTTGCTTATGTTCTCAAGATTAAAGATGAGCTCAGGTCTTCCCTACATTCTCTCCACGCCTCTCTTGTGGGGGCCTGTAGCTTCAAAAATCATCCTAGCACAAACTAGAGAGCCAGTGTGGTGCAGTGGTTAAGAGCATGGGACTGGGACTCAGACGATCTGGGTTCTAGTCCCCACTCAGCCATGGAGCCACCTGGGTGACTTTGGACCAGCCACAGACTCTCAGCCCAACCTACCTCACAGGGTTGTTGTTGTGGGGATAAGATGGAGGAGGAGATGTACGCTGCCTTGAGCCCTTTGTAGGAAAAAGGAAGGATATAAATTGAAAAAACAAAACAAAACAAAACTAGGCATTAGCTCTGATTACCTTGCATATTTCTTACAAGAGGGCTAAGAAGGCAGGAAAGAAGCAGGGCATGTCCGGCAATAGCAGCTGCCAGGGATCACAAACAGAAGGGCACTATTACATCATGTCCTTCTTACAGACTTCCCATGGGCATCTAGTTGGCAACACAGGCCTTTGTTCTGATCCAGGTCAGCTCTTCCTATATTCTTGTGATATATCCACAATTTCTAAAACCAAAAAAGTAAAACTGACAGCAGAAGGGTTAAGGCACAACCCAGTGCATGTTAGACAAAAAACAGGCCTACAACTCCCAGCATGCCCCAGCCAGTCATGATTTGCTTTTCTGTCTAACCATGCAATGGATTGTACTTCATGGGATCTAATTATAGTTTGCTCATCAAAAGTACATGGCCTGATGTCAGTAAAAATGAGGAGAAAGAAGGGAAGAGCAACAAGGCAGTGGCAATGTAAGTCAGGGATGGACAACCTGTACTCCTCCAGATAGTTTGGCCTACAAGTCCAAGCAGGAAATGTTTAAGAAAAACCAATGTGATCTAGCCACTGCTGAGTGCTTTCAAGTCCCGTTAATTTATTAATGGAACAATCAGTTACCACCATCTAGTGGCCATCTGTGAACACACACCTTAGCTATCTAATACGTTTTTTATTTATTATTTCAATTTGTATACTGCTACAATAGCCCATACCTGGGCTCTCTGTGTATAACTAGCAATAGTTTCCTCGTTACTCGAAACTATGCGTGGAAAACACCTGGAAGCAGTTTTGCTGTGCCTCTGTTAGCGATGTGTACTTGAAGGTGCAGGTCATCATGAAGATGGGAAGGGTTTGAGGGGTACATCCTTTGAAGGAAGTGATGATGTGAAACTGAATCAGTCTTTCATGGTCTTCGCCAAAAGCAAAGCCATAAGAATACTGATCGCAGGATAGCTTCATCTTCAGCATTGCTCACATTCACCCAGCTACATAGATATCCCACAGCAGAAACAGGAAGCAAGGAAATGCTGAAGGTAATTTCTCGAATTTGCAATCTTGATTTAGCTTTATTGGTAGAAAATTCCATTTAAGACTTCTCTCTACATTCATCAAATTAAAAGCAACATTTTTAAATGTTTCATGTAACATCTTTGCTCATTGTGGGATTTACTGCTCTTGAATATAAGCCTGCTAACCTGACTCTATGTAGAGAGGAAAGGTTGGAACGTCTTGGCTTTCAAATTTAGAACTGACTGTCCCTGATAAGGAGTGCTGGGATTCATCAACTAAAGGTAATGGGGCAACTTAATTGCAGATCAGCCATCAACAGCCTTTGTTCTTTCAGAGGTTTGGGCTCCTATTTCCATAATCCCCGGCCACTAAGGATGGCAGGAGTTGCAGACCACAGCATCTAGGGAAAGCCAGTTTGAGGAAGACTATACTAGGTATTACTGGGGGGTGGGGAAAATGATGAGGATTGATAGCGGTGGCCTTGAATTTTGCCCCCTTCATTCAGTCAGATTTGAAGAGAGTTTTTTACATTTTCCAAATATCACAGCAGCTTTGCCAAATGAATAAAATTAAATGATGCAAGATTTACACAAGGGAAAAGTTCCCAGATCCCATCTATTGATTTCAGAAATGGCTCCAGAAGAGTTTGTATGTTTTTAGGATTACCACTCTGCCGCTTTAACAAATATACCCTCTCCCCCACCCCACCCCACCCCCACCCCCACAGAGTGCTATCTATTCTACCACATATTATTTGTATGTCAGTTCAGGTAATAGAATGAGGGTAGGTCAGCTTGATCCTGGCACATCAAATCCCACCCTGCCTGGCACAGAGGTGGAACAGAGCACCAGTAGCTGTCCTAGTGCTGATCCTGGGGCACAAAAAGGGTTGCCAGGATTGAATTCAGCTGCCATGCCACAGATTAAAAGTCCTGCTCTTATTTATTTACTTACTAGATTTCTATCCCACTTTTTTATTTTTTAAGAACTCAAAGCAGCTTACTTCACACTCCTCCTGCTGCTCTCAATCTCACCCCCGCAACGACAGCCCTGTGAGGTAGGTTGGGCTGAGAGTCTGTGACTGGCCCAAAGTCAGCCAGCTGGCTCCATGGCTGAGCAGGGACTAAAACCCAGATTGCCTGAGTCCCAGTCCTGCACTCTTAACCACTGTACCACAGTGGCTCTCTTAGGCGTTGCACTGTTCGGGGGGGGGGTCACACTTTTCTGCTCGGCATGGCTGAACTGTATTCCAAACCATTCTAAGCACCCACCTCCCAGCCCAAAATATTTTCAGTGCTGTAGGCACTATCAACCATTTAGGCTTTTGAATTCTAAAATGTGTTTACTGTGTATCTGAATATGCTCTGAAGGTCAACCAGTAGGACAACTTGCTCCTGAATGTCTGATTGTGTCAAGCAACACTTTTTTTTGCAGAAGGGCTACTAAGACTCCATTGTGCAAGGAATACAAGTATGAAGAACTGTACCTTTTTTGCTCTTTGTGCTATGTTGGGCGTCTTTGTAAGCAGTTTTTCAATCAAGTATTCTCTAGTCTGGAAAAATCAAGCATGTCATAATTAAGGCCAGCCCAAGAAAGTACAAAAATTCACAGTGCCATGAAGACAAGTATATTTATTTGTAGAATTGAGTACTTTACCTTTGCTTTTTGGAAGAATTTGCATTTTAAAAGTTCAGCTGCTGTAGGCCTGGAAACAGATTGAAAATTTAGAACAGCACAGACACAGAAAGACTGCTATTATATAATCGGCATTGCTGGATATTATCAGAACTTTCCGAACACCAAACTTGCAATGCCTAAACATTTTTTGGTGCTAGATATCCAGAATGAAAAAAAAAAATCAATGTTACAAGTTTTTCTATTTTTTAAAAAGATCACTACACTTTATAAATAGGACCAAAAACATAAAATGCCATATGATCTATAAAGTTGTGCTTTTCTGGTTTAGCCCCTTTATTAAAAAAAAAATACTTTAAACAGCTTGTTACAAATCCATTGTCAATCTATGCCACTCATTCACTGAAACATATAAAATTCCTTCTTAATTTGTTTTTATCCAATTTACTATTTTTAGTTAGGAAATAAATTTACTTTAAAATATGTGCTCTCTGCCTTGCTCCATGTGCTTAAGTTGCTCATAATATTGTAAAGCAAAAAGATAACCCAGTTTGTTTTGGAGAAAGTGCTAACATCCTAAGTTTGCAGGCCTATGCACTTTCCTGGGGGTAAGACCCATTGACCTCAGTGGGACTTACGTCTGAAAAGATATGTATATCACAGTGTAAATGTTTGTGGTAGGTTACCAAAGGCAGTAAAAGTAAAACCTGCAGCCCTCTGGACCTTCCTGAGGAAAAAAGAAGCAATTTTGGAATGAGGTTGAGATAGCAGTCAGACAGATTAGGCTCACCTCACCATTTCAAAACTTTGTTTCAATCTTGAAATTACTTATCCAGAAATTCAAATGTTCTCATGTGCAAAGCAATCCTGTAGATAAACCTGCTCTGGTGACTATGACAAGCAGTGAAATGCAATCAAAGCCATGAGCAGAAGAGGCCACCATCTTGGCTGCCAATGACAAAATGGCAGTGCTACTGAGACAGTTGGTTAAGATCCAACCATATTCGATGTCTTCCATCTCCTTTCCCTCTTCCTTCCTTTGATCTATACACCAACACTTAAAAGAAGGGCCATCTGGAAAGTTGTTACAAAGAGTGTGCAAGAGGCTCTGAGTGTGGGTTTCAGTTTGCAAACATTGAGAAATCCAATTCAGTGAGTTTCAGATGCAGCAAAATTCCTATATGACCTACATATAAATAAAACTTGACTATAAGCACTTCAGCCAAGAAATTCTATTTCTCCCAATGCGATACATATCTTTTTCTTGCTCAGAAGGAAAAGGGAGACTTGCGTTAAGGCACCAAATATCACCAAGGTATCTCCAAAGACTGGAAGATCAACTCAGAAGACCTGGGACACATGCCCAGAGGTGCCTTGTCTAGCACTGCCACAGTGCCAGCACAGGGGGGTTCAGCAAACATTCTCTACAACCAAAAAGGAAAAGAGCTACCAGGTTCTAGGTCTATGTGTGCATAAAACATTTAAAAGGGTAGACTAGTTCTCAACTACCAATGGAGCAGGGGTCATGGATCAGCCACCAGCATTTTGAAGTATAGCTGATAAAAATGAAAATGGGTTCTATTTCATGGCAGGGTATGACATACTGCTAGGCTGGTAGAGACTTAAAATGGAACTAAAAGGAACTTAGTCTGATTTACCGAACTGTGTTAGCAGACAAATATTCATTGTGATTTCGGTAACGTAAGCAAGATTGTGTGTTATAACCTGTATTCATTTTTTTAATGGATCGTCTTCATGGTGTTTCCTAAAAGAGAGTTGCTCATCTGCTTTATTTTAATCCAACAGTAGGATAGTAGGCCATTTGTTCACAGTTTGCAGCTTAATAAAAAAAGGGCTCTCTAGAGCATTTCAGACTAAATAACTAAACACATTTTTATCTGCTGCCAAGTGGCAAACCTTTGCTTAAAGCATGTGCCCTGGGGATTGAGAGTTAATCAGAGAAAGTAAAAGGGCAAAGAACTGGAGACAGTATGCAAATGGTCCCCAGAGTGGAACAGAAGAAAACCAGGGACTCCTGAAGATGTACAAGGTTAGCTTGTGCACATTCACAACTGATCTATTCATTTTTAGCACAAGACCCCCACTTTTCAGCTCAAATCACAACGGCTCTATTTACACTTGTTAAAAAAAGGGTGGGGGGAGGAAGGAAGGAAGGAAAGGATATGTGCGTTAGTTCAGCACATTCTTTATTTGCAGTTATTGGGATGGCCAATTAATCCAAGTAAGGTCACAGGCAGTGAAACGATGGGCTATCAGTGTATCTTGAAGAAAGCCCAGCATGTTATAGCAGGGTAGTGTCCCTGTCCCTGTTCATGGCCTCTGCCTTTAACTCCCGCTGAATTCACTCTGAAGGGTATGGCAAAAATAAATCTTGCTATAAAACAAGACATGCACTCCCCTGAATCTTGTTTTAGAGCAATGTAATGATAAAGCCCCCACCTCAGTGGGTTCAGTGGGGAATCTGATCCCTGGATCCCCAGAAGTTGCCCAGTGCAGAATTATAGATACACTGAACAAAGTTTAAAAAAGACATTCTGGTAAAGTTTTCTAAAGCCAGGCTCAGTAGCAAATGTCAGTGGCTTATAAAAACCTAACTCAATTAACTTTTAAGTTTCCCAAATTTTTCTCCAGCTGCTCAAATTTTCAGAGAAGCATTCCCAGTTTTATCTATTCACCCACCTCTGTCATACTCCTAAAAGAAACTGCAGTAACTTGTGGGAAACAGCATTGTACAGAGTCTCCCACATCAGAGGGAAGAGGCAGGGACTGGTGCTCAGCAAGACAAGACAATGGAGAGGGAGGGAAGGAAAAACCCCCACACATCTTCCCATTTACTTCAACTGTTGCACCTGTGAAGAGTAGTTAAAAATGGAAGGAAAGAGATGGCTGAATGTATTTCTGAGGTGACTGTTGGTGGGTGATAGCGTTCAGATAAGAGAGGGACAGTGGAGACAGGTGGTCTTCTGACTGGCTCAGAAAAACCAATCCAAAATCTTCCTATTCTTATTCATTTACAAAAGGTGTGTGTGTGTGTGTGTGTGTGTGTGTGTGCGCGCGTGCACGCACGTGTGGTTTTTTAGTTAATCCAAGATAGATTGCCTATCTCAAGAAAAAGGTCAAGTTGTTATTTTCTCCTTTTTCCCTTTTAAAGAAACATACCTTTTAGAAGGATCCTTCTGAAGACACAGTGAAATTAGTTTTCTAAAGGACTTTCCATACTTTTTAGTCATTTCTTTATCTTCCACGCCTGTTTCCAAAGTTGGAGGGTCATTTTGCAATGTCAGCATTAATACCTATTTTAAAACCAAAGATGATTAGGAAATTGATCTCAATAAAATAAGCCCAACAACTGCTTTAATTCATCTAGAAGTGCTTTATCATGAAACTCCCATTTATAATTTAGAGACATACTGGAAATCGGAGGGAGGGGAGGATACAAGTTTCCTGATTCTGACTTAGCTATACAATTCAATATACTACAGCTTTTGTAGTCAGGTACTAAAGGGTGGAGACTTGTTGATCCTGAACAATAAACTCAAGATCCAAAATGAATCCATGTGTGTTGCAGGGGGTATAATTTATTACCCTGATCCCAAAAGACAGACTAGAAATGGAGTGCTGTACATTATACTCTGGTGTAGAATACCTCTTGCTGGACTTAGCTGTAGTTAACTGTGATTAATACTAACCAAAGTTTGAGGTTAAAGGTTCTGAAAACTAGCTTCATTCCCCTAACATAAGCCTTAACCAGCAGCAAGCAAAAGCTCAGGCCGGGAGTTCTCCAAATTGCACCTCAAAGCTTGTTTAATCTTCAGACTTTATCAGACTTCAATCTTTGTCTTTTTCTTTGTGCATGAAAATGCACACGTATTTTTCCAAATGTACACATAAACTGTGCACCTCTTCAAAATGTATTATTTCTTCTTCCATTGCCTAAAAAGCATGTTTATGCACATGCTTCTTTTCATCATGTTTTTAAATGCATGCATGCTGCTGAACACGTTAGGGTCTGTAAATAACACTGCAAGCTTGAAATGCATGGACTCTGTTTGCAGCTTATGTCCACATCCATGTTTAGTCCAATTCCATGGTCAGTCTGGAAGGCATGAACTGGGTAAAACCTGATCAAAAACAAATGGAAGTGATTTTCTCATCCATCATCCACAGAATATTAATGCGGGAGAGGGGAGGGAAGAGACATGGGACCCTATGGCTCTGTTGGTTTTGCAAAGCATAGCTTAGCCAAAAGACCAATTATTTTGCAGAAATTAGGCACGCTGCCAATTTGACTTACTTTTCAATTAAGTTTATTCTGTAATTGTTACTTTCAAATAAGAGAGAGGAGGAAGTGGAGAAACTTAAGGCATGCTTTTGAAAAATGCAGTATGATATGAAAGTAGAGCCAAACATATTCAAGGTATATAAACCTTATATATGTTTAAGGAATATAAAATGCTAAAAATACTGTTTTTCCCTGTAGAGGGCTCATTCCTATATATGTGACACAGGAGTGTAGGAATCTGCAGGCTCATAAGGCAGTGTTTGTTTCACAGTTCTGTGTCTGGCTTGTTAGAAGAGGTACCACAGTTCAGGCACATACTAAATAAACCATGGATTGGGATTTCCCGGTTTGTGTGGCTGGTGTGCTGGTAGGAGGGGCCAAGCAGAGTGATCAGGCGGTATGTACCAACATGTTTGCTCATTCCCCATAAACTAGAATTCTGGAGGATTCCGCTTATAGTCCCTTCTATTTTTAATAAGACTCCTGCTGACACCGGAGTCAAAACTAGCACATCACTTTGTCTGGCAATTCTGTTTAATTTAGAAATAAAAAGTCTCAAGCTTCACATGGTTGGTTTACTCATAAAGGCTCATGTTTTACTTGGTAACCTGACCCCGCCTCCAAAAACAAAACAACAACAACTCAACAATAGATTCAGTACAGCCCACTGCTGCGCATTATTTTTGTAATCCTTTTCTAGAAGTGAAGCTCATGTTAATCAGCTCAGACAAAACAAGACAAAACCAACCCTAAACAGTATGTTTCTCACATATTAACTCCAGCAAGCGCTGGTTCCAGTGCCTAGCCTTAAAATGAACCATATTTTTAAAATCCTCATCATTCCTTCTAACAGTGAGTTCAAGTGGTTGACAGCTGAGTGGACTGGAGCCCAAAAATGGTGCAAATGAAGAACAGGAAAGTTTGAGCCTGCTCGGATGAATTTGGTGGATATGCAAAACATTTTTTTAATCCCAAAGGAAGTAGTAAGACCCTAGCCCACCCCCACCAGAAAAACCATGCCAAGTGAGGACACACAATACTTGCTGGTCTGTGGGATCTGCAAAATATGTTGAATGTTAGCTGGAAAAGGGAACTAGGGAAGGAATGAACCAAGAGTGAATTCTCCTACTTCAGGCCCTTAGAATCTGTGGAGAACAGATGCCTACCTGGCCCCATGAACTGAACTCCTGTCATACTGCATAATGATATACTGCAACATTTTGTTGTTGAAAACTCATATAGCTTTGGAACTAATGTAAGAGACTGGAACCATTTATTTAGCAACATTGCATACTTAGTTTTCAAATGTAATTACTTTCATTGGAGGATATTTGTGGTAAGGCGCAGCTCCGGTTGCTAATTCAATGGCTGTTATTCCAAAACTCCAAATATCAGCCTTGAAGTCATAGCCTCTCACCTATTGCAGGAAAACACAAAGGAGATGAGTTAATTTAGCACAAAAATGTTTATCTGAATCCATCACACAAGTAACATGCTTTATATACCTGTTCCATGACCTCAGGTGCCATCCAACATGGAGTACCGACAAATGTCTTCCTAACTTTGTTACGGGTAACATCACCTCCTGTGGCTAAAAAAGCACTAACACCAAAGTCTAGGGATGGAAAAAACAAGATTCCTTTTAGTATTTGATTAGCGTATTGAGGTAACTATGTTATTTTAACTTTGATTCTGCATAAAAATATGAAGCTTCTATTTAAATGAAGCTGTGAAGTTACTGTTTTCTCAGTAGGTGTAACACTCTGCAGTTTATAGAAGCGTTATAACTAATATGACGCCTTTCCCCCCTTATGAATCATACCTTTAAGTAATATTTGGCCTTATGTACTAAAACATACATTATCCACAGACACTAACAAGAAGACTATTTCTTTCAAATTAGCATTTGGGTCAGCATATCCACATGCTCCATTGAGAATTTAAAGAGTGCTATTTTTAGGCATGTATCAACAGAGTAGGAGAAAAAGCAAAGCTTACATGGCTATTTTGTATTCTGCTTCAAGTTACTTACAAGATCAGAGCAAGAAAGCTAACAGTCATGTGAGGGTTGTGGGAGACACTGATTAGGATGCCCAGAGTAGCAAGTCAAGTATTACATTTGTGGGCAAATAAAGCAGCCATTAAGAACATAAAAGCATCCCTGCTGGATCAGGCCAAAGGGATTCTGGACCACATGGATCATTTCCTATAGTGGCCCACTGGATGCTTATGGGAAGCGCCACAAGCAAGCAATGGGAAGTACAACTGGGTAAGAAGCTATCCAAGCTCTAGTAGCTTAAACTGGACCACTCTCATATTAAAATACTTTTCAGATCAAATGAAGCATAAGTCATACATACATGTTCATTATTTGACAACAATCACCCCAAAAAATAACTTGCATGTGTAGGAGAACCAGAGATTATTACATATTCAGCTGTGTGAACAAATATTACATTAGGTTTGAGAGTTTGTAGCTGATCACGATGAAGATTTTTACCCAATTCAATGCTTCTGGGTGGTACAGCCTTGAAGATTTACCACTCACTTTCAGCACAATTTAAAAAATAATATCCAAGGGCGTTTCATGGTATTTGGTACTCTGATGCAAAAACATACACAAGAAATTACACAAGTATGGAATAACATTAAAAATATGTATGCTTTTCTTTTTGAGGTCTGTACAAATGGCAAGATAATGGGATATCCCTGTTCACATTTTTTAAAGGGAAGACCACTGTGAAATACAATGCCTTGCAAGAAGTCTTTACCCCCTTTGACTTCTCCACATTTTGTTGTGTTACAGCCTGGAATTGTAATGGATATATTTGGCATTGTTGCCACTTAGTGTACACAAGAGACTCAACACAAAAAGAAACAAGAAATAAACCGGCACTTGTTGATCACCTAAGTATTCATCCCCATGTTCTAATAGCTGGTAGAAACACCTAGAAGAATGCTTGGCCATTCTTCACGGCAAAACTGCACCAGCTCAGTCAAGCTGGATGGGGACTGGTGGTGAACAGCAACACATCCAAGTTTTGCCACAGACTCTCAACCAGATTGTGTTCTGCGTTTTGGATGGGCCATTCTACAACATTCAAGTTCTTATTCTGAAACCACTCCAATGAGCGTTCGGCTGGGTGTTGAGCTCACTGCCATGCTGGGAACATTCCCTCAAGACAATGAACAGCATTGACTTTGCACCACATGTACTATGTTGAAGCAAGGCCAAATACTTCCATTTTGGTCTCGGCCAGGAAAGCTTCCCCCACCCATATTTGCTGTGCCCCCCACACACCTTTTTGCAAGCTACAAAGAGTTGTTATATGGGCTTGTTTCAGCAATGGCTTTCTTTTCACCACCCTTCCTCCATGAAGCCCAGTTTTGTATAATGTCTGGGAAAAGGTCATCCCAAGGACAGTTCCTCTTATCTCAGCTGTGATTTTTTCCAGTTCCTCCAGAGCTATCTCTAGCCTTTTCAATTTCTCTAACTAATGCCCACTTCAAGTAGTCACTGAATTTTATTTATTTATTTATTTATTTATTAAAACATTTCTATGCCGCCCCTTGCCGAAGCCTCGGGGCGGCTCACAGCACAAATGTGCTGACAACCAACACAATTTTGGTTGTCAGCCTTCTCTAAGCAGGTGTATTTGAGCCATAATTGTTTTCCTTTTTGTAAATAATGGATTTAACAGTGTTTTGGGGGATGTTTGTAATTTGGGATTAAAAAAAAACAATCCAACACCGATTGATGGTTCTGCAAACTTTATCCTGGTGTTAGCTCCTTGGTCTTCATGATGCTGTTTGTTTAGATATGCTTTCCAACAAACTCTGGAGACTTCCAAAAATAGGGTATTTCATCTGAGGTCATGGGGCACTGGAATTGCATACAGATTGACTCCATTCAACTAATTACAGTACAGTATTTGTATTCTGGATGCACTGGGCTTATTTCGGCATGTCACAGAAAAGAGATAGATACTTATTCAACCAATCAGAGCCAGATTTCGTTAGGTTTTCGTTTGTTTGCTTGTTTCCTTTGTACCACAATAAAAACATTTTGTAGAATCACAGTGATGTGTGTCTTGCATACATCAAGTGATATGCTAACTGCATCCATTTCAATTCCAGGTTGCAACACAATAAAATATGGAGAAGTCATCAAGGGAGAAATACATCTGCAAGGTGCTGTGTATGTGTGCCATTCGCATTCGATGAATTTATTTTGTCTTCCACCAAAATGTCCCATGAGCAGCGAGCCACTGAAGACCACCAATAAGTGTGTACACACTTCATCAGCATTTCATCTGCATCTACCCTGAAATGCTATTAAGACACACAAGAGCATAAGCACGTGTTAAGACTAAATATACATGCAAAAAGAAAAAATAAGAACAAATTGTTCTGGAGGAAACATCTCAGGGACCCCAGGATACTCCATATGCCACCTCCTGAGCCTATCTGGATCCTTCCCCTCTCCCCTGCAGCTGCTGCAGAAAGTATACCTATAGCTTCTTTCCATGGTCAAAACACTGATCTCAGACATCTTCATAGAGGCTGAAAAGATGCCTGCTGTTAAGCAGGGAAGGGAGAGAAGAGGCCAGGCTCCACAGGATCCTGTTCCTACCTAGATGGGTTCAGAGGCCCCTCTAGTGTTTTTCTTGTTGGGTGAGGGGAATGTTGAGAGAGAAAAGGTTGCAAAATCACTTCCATCATTCTTCTTGCCCTGCTGTGACCCCAAAAGGCAGAGGATTTTTGGAAACCTCAGAGTTCAGAGGTTTCTGTCTAATGGACACCAATCCTGAAAGTGGCACCATAAAACTTTATAATGTATGTCTTTGTGTAGGGGTGGAAGAATATAGAACTCTGAAGCCTGAAATTTCACAACTTCATGGGGTTATTAAATATGAGCTGCACATCTCAAACACATGAAGCTATTAAGCATAAAGCCTGGAAGTAATAAAGCCATCCTTCACATCAAGCTTTCCATTTTTCTGCAAGACCTGCTTTAAAAGCAGTAATTCATAAATAGCCTACACAGGCAATTACCTTTTCATTAATTGTGTATGCTATACCAAAGCAAATTGTACTTGTTTAACATCATCATTATTCTTTGCCTTGTACTCTTCTGTACCTTGCAAAACTATGATAACCTCAAGTTTTTGCCTACCCCAAAAGAGGGGCTCTCTCATTAGTTCCAAAGACCCTGACATGACTTTAAATAGTGCAGTTAGTTCATTTACCTAAACAATTATTTCCATCATGTCACTGGGATTGCATGGAAGTACCACCTCACATTTCCAGTCACGATGCCATTAACTGTAACATTCACTGGCCCTTAGTTTGTCATTTTGTCACCAGAGTAGCAAGCTGTTTTGTTCAGACACTCCCACTGCTTCTGCCAGGACGTGGATACACTCTAGCAAATCTTTTTTGTAGTTTAAGCTTTAAGTCTATTTAAATGTCAATGAACGTGCTCATTTTCCCTGGAATCAACAGTGCAATCATTCACCTGCATTCTGAAGTGGTACGATACCATGTGTCCTTTCTAATAAGCAAATGCCATACCCTGTTCCAAAATCTCATTTAGACCTCAACGAGGTCAAAATATTTTCCTTCTCATTCCAAACTAAAGAGATGAGAAGATCCTCTTTTCAATCACATTGTGCTTTGGAGGCATCGTCGCTATCTATGATGCTCAGAGTGACATAAGAGACATAACTTCACCAATGCTGAAAAAAGAACCAATGTGTATGGAATGGGAATTCTGAATGGATCTCAAAGCCATGGAGTTGCGTATTACCATGGGAATATTTTTGATTTGAATGTTGCATAGTGAATACCATAAAGAGTGATTTTTGCATGCCATGCCATCACACCCTGTCAATAAGCCACGGCAAGTTGGTTGTTAGTGAAACAACCCATAGAGCATCCAGCAAATACTTGGGTCCACCATGGGTTGTTGGGCTTCTTTCTTCCCCTTCTGGGTCTTCCCTGCAGGTCTCCTACCTCCTCACCATGATCACAAACTATTTTTAGCTCACTTTGGGTTTTCCTCTCTCTTTCCTTGATTTTTTTCAGGAGCTCACAAAACCTGGCTTGACAGCCCAAGCAATACCTTGGAGCTGTCAGAACCCTTTCTTTGTTTATGCAAAAAAGGCACTTTAATTAAAAAAAGAACCTGCATAATTGCAAACTTTCACATTTGACTGAGTGCATTAATTCAAAATCTCAATCAGGGCAACGTCCGGGGTACCTGCTGCAAAGTCCTGCGGGGCAAATCCTGCAGATATCCAAATAGCTTGCAATCATGGAAGATGGGGGTACGGAGTCAGTGCCAGGTGCCTCCCAATGCCATGTGGGCACCTTGGGGAAGCAGGCACTAGCAGTCACCCAGAAGACTCTTGGCAAGAGTGGCGAGGATTTCTTTTCTGCTCTTGCCAAGAAGCTTCATAGCTGATCTTCCTCAACCAACCATAGGTAGACCAACCCCAACAACAAACCATGGGTAACTGGAGCTGTGACCCATAAATAAGCCACTCTGGTGAAATGAGTACCGACTCATATAACATGACAAGCCATTGAGTTGCCATGTCATTTGAATCCAGTCAGTTACTCTTTCCAAAGCCACTTTTTAACCAAAAAAAGTGTGGTAGAAAATATACGCTATCTTCAAATACAGTGCACACCTTTCCTTTCCTTTCCTTTCCTTTCCTTTCCTTTCCTTTCCTTTCCTTTCTCCTTTCCTTTCCTTTCCTTTCCTTTCCTTCTGTCTGAATTGCCTTGATTTTCCCAAAGAGATTATTTCAAGCAGCCTATAAGCAGAACTGAAATAGTAGGAGAGCAGAGGAATTTCAAGCATATGATGAAGGAAGAATAAGCAGCCCTCCAAAGAAGATAAAGAGCTGCTTTATCAAGACATGCTTTGTGGAAACTAATCAGAAAAACACAACTCACTTTCACTGGATGCAGAGAATCTTTTATCAGCTTCTGTTTAGACTCCACTAATGCAACTGCTCGGCTTACACAACTAGTTAAAACTTACTGGTACTTAAAAAAAAGCTACACCAGTTCCATTCGGTTTCACTGAAGCAAGGTCCTTGTTTTCGTTCTCAACATACTGAATAAGAGCTAGAATTTTTCTGGGTCCTCACAAAACCTGGCTTGGCTAAGCAATGAGTTTGTTTAAACTAATATTTTTGTGGAGAGATTGGATGTCAAGAATTGAAGAGGCTAGGATTTATTGGCAAGGCAATGGAGGGGACACCAGACAATTATAAATCTTAGGCTATAAAAACACTTTCTCCAACAATACTATGTTTTCCAACAGTTTCTTACCACCACTGATCTGACATTGGTTAGGTCTTAAGATTCCTGTTTAAACCTCAAATTCCCAATAGAAATAAGTTCCTAGAATTTAGCACTAACACAGCTGCTATACTCATTCACACACAAAAGCCTGTGGATGCAAAGCAGTAACTGAAAGTGGTGTCCATACACAGGGACGGAAAAAATATATTACTCAGGCTTGGTTCTATACTTATTTTAACCCTAAGCCATTGGACACTTTTGAACAGGCATATCTTGGATTAATAATAGCCCCTTCACACCATAGTTCTATCACCTGCAACCTGAATACAGATTACGAGGTTCTTCTTATCACATTACATGTATAACGTTGCTACCATTGCTGGGATATTTCTGTCATTGCCAGCACTGCCTTGTCATCAATTGTAAGTGTCGCCACTGTAACCACTTACAAAATCATCGTCTGTTCCCTCTGCATTTTATTTCCCTCTGACTTGACCTCACTCTTTTCCACTCCCCTCACCTGACCCTGAGCATATGCTAATTTAGGCTTCTGATGCAGTAGACTCTGGCTATGGTCAAAGGTGGCACACGACTCTCTGTTGTTGCTTATGCCACAATAGATTTATGTAGTTACTTCTCTGGAAATTAATTAATTTATGCCTCATCCCAACTAGGAAGTTATAGTTACCATCCTCAGGATAAGCCAGAACTCAAATTCTGGTCCGATACATACCTTTTGTGAAGGTGGTAACCAAAACAAGAAACTATGCTTAATTAGAAGCTTCCTGGTTTGATTGCTCGTGCCATGAAGCGAGGACTGGATCGGGTACATGGGCGGGCAAGAAGTTCTTTCATATAATGCCTTACACATAAGCCAAGACATGATTGTCCAAGCCAGGCCAATGAACTGACATGCTAGGTGCATTTCACATCCATCAGAAGCTTCAAGTATTTAAGACTGTAGTAAGCTTCCAAGCTCTAGGGCAACACCTGGTGAAGGCTCAGAGCCAGACACTGGACTACTGAGAAGCAGACTTCCATTGTTCTAGAGGTGGGATTTCAGCAGCTTGTCAACCTCTTCATCACTCTGTCTTGCAAAGTAAAATCATGCAAATACACGCACAGCATCGTACATAGTTTAAACAAGTCACAGAACTCAGCTTTCCTTATTCCAATTGTTAACATCTTAACTCTGCACCAACATGCAAGTGCAAAGTATACACAGCCTTCCTTATTGTGGAGGAAGGATCAGGAGCCATGTTGTATTAACCTGGCAGAATCTTTCAACAACTATCATACAGAAAAGTATGGATTTGAATTGCCAAGACTTGCCGAGGAAGAGACTATCCCTTGAATATTAAAAAGTGAAACGTGAAAAAGGAGGCATGTTCCCTCCCCCTTATTAGAGTGAAGGGCTACGGGGGTGTTGTCTGTTCACCAGCAGAATGGAAACCACTGGTTTCCCCCAAACCCCTGAGGGTTGAAGGACCATCTGGAGGAGGTTTGGGGGTACATGGCAAAGGACAGCAGAGGGAAGCCGACTTGCATAATATTGATAGAGACCATAATATAATTATATAATTCATTGAATTGCATCTTGAACACTAAAACTTCACTGTTCTATTCATAATCCTTGCTACATACCTGAAATAGAAATATTAGCAAAAAAAAAAAAAAAAAAGTGTGTTAGTTCCTAGCAGGAATTTGAACAGATAGCCAGTTCACACACGTAGCTGTTCCTCCAGCATTAGCTCCGTATACCTTGCAAATTAACTGGCACACACCGCAGAAATGTTTTGCTAAGAACACTGAATGCTTTAGTGTAGGGCCTGCCAAATGAATACCATGCTCTTCAGTCTGATGAATTGTAACCTTTTTAAAATGTTAATTGGATTTCTTAGCGCATTTCAGATTCTCCATACACATGTAGAATCTCTGATGATAATGATTATTACCTGCTATTTGTACTGAGCCATCTTCACCCAGAAGAATATTACCAGCTTTTAAATCCCTATAAATGTGAACAAATAGGAAACATTTAAGTTCAGGTAAATGACGATAGCAACACTCTCAGTGGAATTTTTGTTGAGAAACATGCCATGGGATGAATTAAAAACTACTCAAAACATCCTAATTATACAAGTTTCTAATTAATGGAGAAATTGCCACTTTAAAATGAAATCGTGGAACATTGATATTATGCCACTTGGTGAAAGTATGTCGTTCAGATAGTCTCTGCAGCACTGCAGATCCCAGAATAAGGCTTCCTTACAGTACAAGCAGATCTTCCATATGCCCCTGCCTCCTACACCAATGTTCACAATTTCCCTAGTTTAACTTTGGAGATGGAGTAAGGTAGGGGTCAGCCATATGTGGCAACCAAATGTTTTGGCTACAACTCCCATCAGTCCTACCCAGCACAGCCAATGAGGATTTACAAGTCAAATCTAGAGGGTCACAGGTGGCCCGCTCCTGAAATAAGGGAAGAGATAAGCAATTGCCAAAACATAAAGTATTTTGCTCAGCCCAACAATATCCATATCATCAAGTTCTTGATCAATCAGAAAGTAAATCACAAATGAGAAATTGCACTGAAAAATATTAACACATATAAGAAACAGTAACACATGAGAAACAGTGATATATAAGATAGGAGCTTTTACCTGTGAATTTGTCCATTCCTATGTAGATAATCTAAGCCTTCCAAAACCTCTTTAAGAATTGTTGCTATTATTGATTCTTCTAGAACACCACTCTTGTGCTCTCCTCGGTTGACAACATACTTTATTATATCTAGCATTGAGCCTAGAATTTGAGGAAAAAATGGTTACAGGAGACAAAAAAATAAATCTCTTTAGGAATCAGTTTGCAATTCAAGATAAACTAAAAGAGCTTAAGTGTATATAGTTGAACACAGGGGTGGGGGCTGAATTGAAAGCTCTTCCATAAATATATTTGGTATGGACACTGTGCTAACGGATGGGTCAAAATATTCTCTGCAAACACACAATCACGTCTTTGCTACCCATTAAAGAGATGCTTTTTCTTTAAAACCATGACTAGTACTTCTTTCTGGGAAAGAATCCCAGGCAAATCATACAGTGAGCCAGGCAACATCATATAACACCATGCAGGCAATCAGATTTCACTATCACAAGAACAGATTTCACTATCACAAGCCCTTCCAGAATAAGAGCATCAGCATTAACCTGATTGCGGAGTCGGGGGACATTTTGCCAAATTTGTTCAGAATTCTCTCCATGTCCAAAATCACCAAACCATGAAGTGTTTTTCACGGCAAACAAAGACTTTTTAGCAAAGCATAACAAAAGTACCCTCTATCCCACTTAACCCACGACTTACACACACACACACACACACACACACACATATATATATCTATTTAGAAAGTAGCACAATTTAAATATATATATACATATATATATCATACATACCACAACTGCTATAGTATTATTAAATAATTACTGAATAATGTTCCTGTAGATTTACCAAAGATCTTTAGACAATGTGCTTCACCATACAAAGGCAATCTTGAAGTGGGGAAAAATAAAAGAATGCTACTGAAGGAGTCCAACACTTTATTTCAGTATTTGAAGGCCATAAATTGCTAGGTAAGTTAATACGACCATAGTATAAAACTATCTTAGTTATAATACACAGACTTACCTCCACTAAGCAGTTTCATAACCAACCAAAGCTCATCCTTGACCACAAAAGATGTATAATATGTAACTATGTTGGGATGGTTGCATTGACTCATGGCTTGAATTTCTTTCTATAAGTAATGCAAAATATGAGATAGTATTTTGGCAAGGAAAAGAAAGTACTATAAAGTTGTTCTAACTATTCAACTGCAGGATGGGGAGATAGGTTTGTTGAGTTTGGGCAATTAAGTATGTTCTGGCATGGTCATCTTTTTAAAACTAGTACTCAGAGAGAGCGAGAAATGGCTTACATATGTATGCCTATTTTGAAAAAATGAAAGTTATAAAGCTTGAGCTGAATCAATTTTAGAACCAAAGGGAGAATTTTAAGAATAGCACCATTCTTAAAAACATAAAGAGCAAAGCAGTCCTATTAACTTGACACTGATTCTATTATATGATGAAATAGTTTGGGTGGGAAATAACTTTATGTTCTAACAATATTTAGTGCCCCCAAAACGTAAAAAACCACAGATTTTTACAGTATACAGGGGACTGCAGAGGGAGGAGGAATTATTTGTCTTACAGAAGCCATTGTATTGGTTGGAAGGCTTAACTGGGTATCACCCTTCCTGTTTCAAGAAAAAATATAGCTATAACTCTCTACTGAGTCCCAAATGAAGAATTTTTAAACCTAAGTGAAACTTTAGCGAGGAAAGACAAAATAACTGTATCATAAATTTCCTGCTGCATTAACATCAACATTCTCCTTGTGAACCAATTTGTCTAACACTAGTAATGTATTTTATATTTCTTTTAATCTGAAACATGTTTTTCCCCTGAAATGGGTTATTTGGGACCCTAGAGGTAGAACAATGAAATTAGTACTCACTAGAAAATGTTTTTTCACTTGGTTTTAGGTTTAAATATTTCCATTGTTCATAGTAGGGACAGACAATTGACAGTTTCGCTTTCTGTCCATTTCCTATTTTTTCAGTCTTAAAGTCAGTCCATCTGAAGCTTTGAAAACAGTTTTTGGGCATAAATTCAGTTCATCCTGAACTTTCAGAACTTTTAGGCATGAAATGTTGTGATTTTCTGTGCACATTTGCGCTAATGCACACATTTTGGTATGTATTTTTACCTAAAATACACATTTTCTGCAAGAATTTTTTACTTGGAGAACTCCATTGCAAAAATTTGGAAAAGCATACATTTCAAAAGATAACTGAATTTGGTTTCCATAGTGGTTCAAAAATAAAAAATAGATAAGTTCACATTAATTTTCACAAATTCTAGCTCAAAGTATCTTGAAAGATGGGATCATACAAAACATACAGGCAGGCTGGTTTGGATTTTGTATGAAACTTTTGTTTTGAACTTTGGACTAGTTTCCCCCACTGTTTTAGTAACCGAAAACTTTCCTTTTTTACTTTGTTTACCACTCAAAGAGCCATCTTTTTCTCATGCCCATGGAGGGTAATTGACTACAAAAGGTAGAAGGGCATCATTTAAGACAGCAGAGGAACTGCTTTGCAAGTGCATATTTAATTACAAAATGTAGCTTTCCATTGTCAAGATGAAGGTCTGAAAAATTAGTTATTCAAGCTTTCACCAGAGGCAACTACACACATTACTGACTGGTAGAATTGCCTGTGATGTCACAAAAATACATTTTTCTCACACTTTCCATCCCTGTAGCAGTTTTTTCACTGCTTAATTTAAATATAAGGTTTTTTAAAACCTTGCACTTTGTTATGTGTGTGAATACTGCTTTTGCTTTCAAAAAGAGGAAGAACTTAGTACAGGAGATACATCTCAATTGCAAAACAATCAAATCAAATTGCCCGGACAGGTTGTTCCAATTAATGAATTTGGCAAGACACCAAAATGAAATGTTATGCACAAGTTCTCTAAAGACTGAGCAGTGGAAAAAACATGTCCTGCTCATCCAGGAGAAATGGACAAAAGTGGCTATTTCTGGGTCAATAACAGAGTAGATAAAAAAACTAGGGCAAGGGCCTAAGTACTGGATCTGAAGCATATAATACTTACTATACTCCAGGGATTACATGAACTCAAAAATCTGTGTAGCCAAAACATGTATAATTTGTCAGAGAACCCTCCACAGGAACTCACTGAAATTGCTATTTTAGGTTTGGGGGCTTTTGGGGGGATTCATAAACAAACAAATCAGGTTTGCAAGGCAATAGCCCTATCTTCAACAGGACCTGTAGTACTTCCCTTTTTTGTATTAATTCTTTTGTTTTTGTTTTGTTTTTTTAACTAAGCGACAGCAGCTGAAATTTTTCTCACTAAGAGCGGTTCAACAAATAGAGAAGAGAAGAGAAAAAGATGAAATCAATCACAAATTTCCAAATATGTTATTGGATCAGTGAATCTCCTGCCAAAATATTTGAACACAAACAAGGTGACAAAAATGAGTATGAATCCAGAACCCTGAATTACCTCATATACAAAAACTGAAACTTGCAGTGACATACAGTAACAAAGTAGCTTTCAGACAAACCCAAAACTCAAACTTCACTAAGAGCTGTAGCCTCTGTAACCACAACGTTTGTGTCTTAGTCAAGAGAAAACCACAGAAGGAATACATGTTAAGAATTCAGCAAAATATATCCACAGGGCCTTTTCCTGATAAGGGGATAACATTTTAGGCTGCAATCTAATACACACTTATCTGGGAGTAATTCCCATTGAATTCAGTGGAGTGCCGAGTCAACATAAAAGGCATCTAGTATTCTTGTATGGTTTGGCTTTAGTCTGGTTTGTTTAATGGTCATTTTATGTGTAGTTTTAAAATTTCTACTAGTTCCAAGCCCACCTGAAGAAGCAGAAGAGGAAGTGATGTGAGGTTGGGATGTAGCCAATGATGATTTGCTTTCACAATGAGCCAACTTATATTGGTCGATCGTGCTATGAACTGCTCAATGCAGATATCTGCCATGAATTGTTAGATGTTTATACTCTCCCCTTGCACTTACAGTAGCCAGAGGAAGGCAGGAATGCTTGTAGAAAGGAAATCCGGGGATCATCTAGCCATTCATTTAAGCAGGAGGAAGTGAGGCTGCACAGAGTAAGTGCTGCCACATGAATGATATTCCATTGTGCTTTGTACACTTTCCCGTATCGATTGTAAGTCTTGGTAGGATGCAACTGCTAGCAAAGGGGTTCATGTACGCAAGGGAGCAAAAAGGAGAAAGGAAAAAAACTACAGCAACAGAGTCAGATATTTTATAATCTGAAGAAAAATCTCCCTCTGCAAATTCTTTAAATGTTAATAACCAAAAGAATATGTTTTTTCCAGCAAGTATAAAGGGCTTGGAGACTTTGGCCTTTTGACTGGACCAGAAGCAAAGCAAGTTACATATGGAGGGAAAAGCCAGCAAGAAGAGAAAAATAAATCTTTGAACAGCAACATTTAATTTTTTATGAATTGGTTTTATACCATTCAAACACTTCAGAACCTAGTGTGCACATTAATGGAGATATGAATAGGTAAGACTTCCTGCTTCAATTACTTACAAGCAATTCATCCATACTGGTCTGGCATTTTTCTAAGTTTATCCTTTTTATTGCTACGCGTTCTTGCCTTGGTTTGCATAGCGCTGCTTGGACTACAGCTGTAGCACCGCTACCTGGAAAAGACAGAAGAAGAAAAGATGTTGAAAGTTGCCCATAATATAGTAATTCTCAATATATGCCCCACAAAACTCAAGATTTTGCAAAAGCTTGTCAGATACTTCCTCAACAGGAAGATCACCAATGACTCACAACATTTGAAGAGTTTGGCTATTTCTTCTTGCTTTCCAAACAAAAAGGCTCATTTTCAAGTTATACAATTTCTCTCTTGCTTGCAGTTTCACTGACATATCTACCTAACCAATGGATTGTAAACTGAAGCCCAGTGAAAAAAGTAGAAGAAAATGTATTTTAGATTTAAATGCATCTGAATAACAACTGGGCAAAGGGTTATCTTATTTGATAGACACCAAAGCACCAACTAGCACACTTATTTGTTGAAACGCTAGACCAGGAGAATGTATGGCCCTCCAGATGTTGTCGGACACCCGCTCCCATCATTCCTCACTTCCAGCTATGCTGACTGGGGTTGATGGAAAATGCAGGTCAACAATAAATGAAGGGCTCCATTCCTACTTTAGATGTGGCATCAGAATCTGACTGTGGGTTCTGCTTTAATGTTCAATCCTCTGTATGTTTACACAAAAAAAGTACTATTACTCAATTGGTGGGGGTATGCTGAGGATTGTAGGACTGTCTTCTGTCTAAACCTGCATAGGATCACAGGCGTACATGCAAAAATATGGAAGCAATGTATATGGCCACCAAAAATAGTTTTGAATGGAGAAAAAATCCAGACCTCACAGTCAGGAAAAAGTTTTTCCTTGGTTAAGTCTGACCTTGAAGCAGACACCCCCACACAGCAGCTTCCACATGAGTAGATGAGGCAAGCTAGTAAGTTGTCAAAGCAAAGAGGACTATCTGCAAGCACATGATTATTCTCACCATCACCACCACCACCATCTATGGATGAACCAAATTTCAAAGCAGCGCATAACCTCGATGATGCTACATGTAACACTTAATTCATAAATCAGATGTTGGTGTTTCCATTCTACTCCGTCCAATTCTGCACACAGCCACTTTTGGGAGATGCCCCAACTGGCCTGCTCAAACACTAGGTTCCGCTCTGTGAATTGACATATCTCAGATCAATACAATGTACGCATAAAAAGCCTTTTGTTACAAAGCTTTACAATAGACATTCAGTTGCGTACCTAATCCAGAACAATAGGGTGCTCTTTCCTCCCCTCCAAAAACAGAACTGACACAATACCTCATGACTGGAAGTTATTGTCTATGCTTTAATTGATGTTCGCTTACTTATTTGGAAATAGGATGTTTTGTATTCAATTTTCACCCTGCCAAACTTTGAAGACAAAGCTTTAGCTCAGCATATACAGTCAGTTATATTACCAAAATGTGCAGACCAATCAACACCACAATGTAGCAACAAGTGTGCAGACACACTGCAATCAACTGCACCATTTTCTCTGAATAATTTTTAACCATTTGAAGAAAAATAGACAACGAAGCTTGGGAACACCCAGTTCCTGAAGCCCTGTTTGCTCGGTGGAAATACTGGTGGTGCAATACACCCAAGCATACATCCTTTAGATCACAGTCTTAATCTTTCATTGTCCTCTGCAGTAAGAAAGAAAAGAACATGTAGCTGCCAGACATTTATTTAGGGTAATGTCTGTTTTGGCCCTGGGAAATGCCAGATTCAATCTGCAGTGGCCTAAAAATGGAGGAAGAGAGTCAAGAACTACTCTTGCAAGTGCTCCAACAGGCTTAACTGCTACATATTACACTTTGCAGGGTACAACAGGATTGCCCTGGCACACTATGAGAAAGAACAAGTTATTAGACCATTTTATAACAATAGATCACAATGGGTTATTGTTAACTAAGCTTCCTAAGTCTCTTTCAGTATGTCTCACTCAACAAGGAAGTTCCTAGAAGAGAATATACCTACACAATCTCTATTCATCTGTCAGCAAATTCAGCAAAGACCATCTGAATACAGAAAGCCATTTTAGCAGGGATTCTACTCCAATTTTGCATACACTAGACTAGAGAGTAAAATGCTCCTTCCATTTTGCAGGATGATGCAGATCATCAAACTACCCTACGATGAAAGACCCATCAGATTATTTTCTATACAGCAGCAGGCTGCTACAAAAGCACAATGTTTACTTCATGGGATTTTGTCCTGAATATTCGGATCTCAGGCTCAGATAGCTAATGAAAAATATTGTGGATTTAAATAACAGCATAAAGGTAGATTTTTCCAACCCCATAATTATACTGACTATACAAGCACGAAGAGGTGTACAAGAATGTTTAGGGGGCATTTGAAGGGCAAGTAACTTCCATGACAGGATACCAAGTACTATCCTCAATTGGGTGCCAAAGGCTGGTCTAGGCACTTCAAAGCATTCAGCTCAGCAAACCTTACCTGACTTGCACTCCCTTTGAATTGCTGGCTGTTTTGTGCATGACAGCTACTCATGCATGGATTTCAACAGGTACTTTGAAGGGAGGAAAAAAGAAAAGCTATTTTTCAGACCCCTACAGTCCAAATTTGTCCCCTACAAATCTGTACTAGGTACAAGAAGGTATAAGACAGGCAAGCATAGAAAGAATTAGCTGCACCCCAAGAGGACAGCTCTTGGGCATTTCTGCCCAGAATCACTACCATTCTTGCTACTAAGAGGAGGCTGTCTTACCCTGGTAAGCAACAGTCTACTGGCACTCTGCAAGCTTCAGTGCTATAAACATTTGGGGCTGGCATCAGATACACATTCACCCAATTCAGAAACGAAAGGAGAGCCACTCACTGTTCAGACTACGATTGGTGCCAGCAATCCCCATCTTTTTCCTCAATCCCCATCTTTTTCCTCCCTCCTTTGTAAGGCAAGGTTGGGAAAATCGAAAAACAGGGGTGCGGAGAGAGAAAGAAGCAGTAAAGAAAGCTGGGAAAAGAGGGAAGGAGAGCCTCTGAAGTTCTCCTACATTCTCAGCAACACTTGTTGTTAGTCGTGAAGTTGTGTTTGACCCATCGTGACCCATGGACAACATTCCTCCAGGCCTTCCTGTTCTCTACCAACCCCTGGAGTCCACCTAAGCTCACACCAACTGCTTCAGTGACTCCATCCAGCCACCTCATCCTCTGCCGTCCCCTTCTTCTTTTGCTGTCACTTGTTCCCAGCATTAGGCTCTTCTCCAGGGAGTCCTTCCTTCTCATTAGGTGGCCAAAGTATTTGAGTTTCATCTCCAGTATCTGGCCTTCTAAGGAGTAGTCAGGGTTGATCTCCTCTAGGACCGACTGGTTTGATCTTGCAGTCCAATGGACTCGCAGGAGTCTTCTCAAGCACAATTCAAAGGCTTCAATTCTTCGGCGCTCAGCCTTCCTTATGGTTGAACTTTCACAGCCATACACTGCAACTGGGAAAACCATAGCCTTGACTATATGCACTCTTGTTGGCAGGGTGATGTCTCTGCTTTTTAGTATGCTGCCTAGATTTGCCATAGCTTTCCTCCCCAGTAGCAAGCATCTTTTAATTTCTTGGCTGCAGTCCCCATCTGCAGTGATCTTGGAGCACAGGAAAATAACATCTGTCACTACCTCCATTTCTTCCCCATTTATTTGCCAGGAAGTGAGAGGACCGGATGCTATGATCTTAGCTTTCTTAATGTTGAGTTTCAGGCCAACTTTTGCACTCTCCTCCTTCACCCGTAACAAGAGGCTCTTTAGTTCCTCTTCACTTCACTTTCTGCCATGAGAATGATATCATCTGCATATCTGAGGTTGTTGATATTTCTCCCAGCAATCTTAATTTCAACTGGTGATTCATCTAGCCCCACCTTTCTCATGATGTGCTCTGCATATAAGTTAAATAGGCAGGGCGACAGTATACAGCCTTGCCGAACTCCTTTCTCAATTTTGAACCAATCAGTGGTTCTGTGTCCAGTTCTCACTGTTGCTTCTTGACCCGCATATAGGTTTCTCAAGGCACAAATAAGATGGTCTGGTACTCCCATCTCGTTAAGAACTTGCCACAATTTGTTGTGATCCACACAATCAAAGGCTTTAGCATAGTCAATGAAGCAGAAGTAGATGTTTTTCTGGAACTCCCTAGCTTTCTCCATGATCCAGCGTGTGTTGGCAATTTGATCTCTAGTTCCTCTGCCTCTTCGAAATCCTGCCTATACTTCTGGTAGACCCCCACCAGAAGCCTCCATCACCACCCAAGATGCTGGGATATCTAGTTAATTCCCTCAGATTCGATCCATTCAGCTAGGAGGACAGGAGGTGATTTGGAAAGGCAAGAGAGAAATGAGGGATGATGAAAGCTGCCAGGGACTTCATAAAGGAGCCTGGTTTTTCTGAGGTTTTCTAGGAGTGTTCAGACCCATTCCAAATCGAGAGTTCCAGGATGTGCCCAACAGACAAGGTCATGGCTTCAGGCTTGTTCTTGCTGTCCACAGAAACAGCCTCTCTCATTATGTACACACTTCCAGAATGTAAGGAGGAAGTCACCTGGGTAACTCTGAAAGTACAAACAGAATTTAATTTGTTTGCCAATATACACAGGCAAGTCCCGTTTAATAAGCAATGGGAGAATTTTATTTAATTTTTTAAAGATCAAAGCACTTCATCTTCATGGAGCCAATTACAGTGTGACAAGCGAATCCTTTCCTGAATTTTTTCTTTGTTTAATGAATAGCAGTTGTGGGATGCTGTAAATGTGATTTCCACAGGAGTAGCTGAGTTGGTCTATCTAAGCAAATGCAACAGTATCTTCTGGCACCTTAAAGACTTAACAAATTAATGGCACAAGCTTTTATGGACATAGTATACTCCTTCAGATACAGGAAATGTTAGTCTCAGCTGGTAGATTTTTATAGACAAACTGGTGGCAGGGATTGTAATGCATGAGGTGGGAGGAAGGGCTGAAATACTAACTGTGGCCATCTGCAAAACAGCCACTGTGTGACAACGCAGACATCACTGCATCAGTGAGTTGATTTCAATGGGAAGCTACCGCTC